TCACCTTTCCTTTATTGTAAAACCTTTGCGTGCGTGCGTGCGTGTGTGTGTGTGTGTGTGTGTGTGTGTGTGTGTGTATACACTGTGTGTGGTTGGTGTCCCTGAGGGCAGAAGAGGATGTTAGATCCTCTCAAACTAAGTTATAGCCATGTGGGTGTTCAGAACCAAACCCGAGTACCCTGAAAGAACAGAAAGTGCTCTTAACTGCTGAACCATCCCTCCGCCCTTGCCCCCCTTTATTCTTCTTTCATGTCAGGTTTATATGGTTGTTTTTCCCCCCTGTAGTTTTCTGTGGTAGGTGCTTAGATTGTTGAATTTAGATCTTGTGATATCCTTTGTATTGTATTATTTTAGATCTTATCACAAGTTTTTCTTAAACATAGGAATAAGAAAAAAGACACCTATGAATAGATATTTGCAATTTATTGATTTGAACAGCTGACAGTTTTTAGTAATAAGTACTCAGTGATAGAAATTACTGTAATAAATCTGAATTATAAGGTAGTTTTGATGAAAGGAATACAAATGAAATATTTTCACTGTTATTTCCTTAGAACCTAAAGCACTTGCGGGATCTTAATTTTTTTCCTTTTATTCTATTCTGTATATTTTCCCAGAATATTAAAATGGTCTCTTGATAATTTTGAGACACACACAATTTTGAGACACACACAAAAGGTGAACAAATGAAGCCAGAGGACACCTTGTGGGAATTGGTTTTCTCCGTCTACTATGCGGATTCCAGGAATTGAACATCTTTACCCATTGAGCCATTTTGCTGTACTCTTTAATCCTATTATCCTTAATTTGCTCATGAATAATTGATTATTGCTTTTTTCTAGAGAAAATTTCCTGAAGGCAATTTAAAATTGCTATGTTGATTTAAATTCTATTTGAGAAAATTTAAGATCATTATTTGAGGGTAATTAACATATCAACACATTTCAGGTCCAAGATAATTACTGTGATATGGAGAACATAGATTAATACTTTGTCATTTCTATTAGAGTCTCAGTAATATTTTCCTATGGTTTAACATGGAACTAAACACTTTCTGATTTAATGTGAATTTGGGTTAACTTAGTTTGTAAGAAGTTGGAAACAAACACAATGGGTTCTAATAAAAGTCTAAGGACTAATTCCTAGAGATTTGTGCAAGATTAGGAATTTTATTTTGTACATCATGGATCACTTCTTGTCTTGAAATTACTAGCCTAACTTTAATTTTATAAAGTGATATTTAGTTATTTGCAGAAATTTTTGGAAAAGTACTGCTGATTCCTCACCAAAGGAGATAAGAGTGTGTCTGCTCTGTGCTGTGTGTCCTCTGATAGCTTAACATAAATGTTGAACAGAAATCGTGTTCTTGGATGAAGTGACACTAGATGTCAGTTCCTCTTCTTTACATGGACCTCTCTGTGGGGCAATTTGATCTTTATATTATGATCTCTGGGTTCCAAGAGTGACACACCCCAAGAATTAATGTCCCAAGAAATAGAAAGAAGAAACTGCTAATCTCTCAAACCCTGTCCTGTAATACACATAGCTTCATTCTCCTCAACAGGTAGCTCAGAACTCACTGAGGAGGGACATGGCCTCATGCTGCTGGTGTCAAACAAAAAGGAGTGTCCAAGATATTTAGAGCCACATTTTTAACTATCACAACAGATAGGGGGACGTTGACTAAATTATTTTTACTTGACAAGGTTAATTTTCTGCAAAGTGGGGTATTATGTGTACTTTGGGTCAAGAAGTTTACTCTTATTCAGATTTTGTTTTTGTACAAGTGAGCATCTAAAAGATTTGAAAAGTTTTAAGTTGAAAACAAGCACAATGGGTTCTGATCAAAGGCCAGGTTTAATTCATTCTTTAAAGGTGCCTATAAGATTAGCAATTTTATTTTATATGCAGGACAAACAAATAAGTTCTGGTCTTGAAATTACTAGCTTAGTTTTAAAGTTTATAAAACTGTATTCAGTTTTTTTTTTTCCTGCTCACAAATCTGGAATTCAAGCAGATTTTGGCAGGGAAGTCTGTCTGCTCTATCTTAAATATGCTCTGTATGCTTTGAAACATTAAAATCAGTATTTATAAGCTGGGTGTTGGGACATGGGCCTGTATTCTCAACTACTTGAGACCTTGAGGCAGGAAGATCACTTGAGATTCTGCTTGGGCAAGTTGCTATGTCAAAACAATCAAGCACCCCAGTATTTAGAAAGTCTAAATGAAGAAAACCATGAACCACTGATGAAGGAAGTCAAGTAGATTCACAAATGTGCACTCATGGTGATATTAGAAAAGCATAAAACTCATGGTCCATCAAAGAAAAAAAATGTGCAAGTTATACTTCATTGGTCTTGAGCTCAAGGCCAGCCTGGTCTACATAGTGAGCTCCAGGCTAGCAAGAACTATACAGTGAAACCTTGTCTAACAAAGTAAAATAAGAAATTTCTATCCTATGAGGTAATACTATAAAAAGAATGAAAAGACACTACAGCATGAAAGAAATATTTTCAATACACTCATCTTTGAAAGACCATTATCTACAATTCACCAAGAATTTGGAAGACAAAAAGGCATGATGACACAGGCCTGTAATCCCACCACTAAGGAGGCTGAGACAGGAGGATGGCAATTTTGAAGCCATCCTGGGTTATGTAGAAGGGGGTGGTGGAAAAGACACTTGTCACATGAAGGCTAGTGATCTCAGTACAGGTAGGAGATAGTCCACAAAGTTATTCTCTGACTTTCATATGCATGCCTTGGCCCATGTACCACCACCCTACATGCACACACACTAATAATAAGTAAAAATAATTAAAAATAAACCATCTGGACTGTGAGCAAGGTGCTATGACAGTGAGATAGCACTGTACACCTATTAGAATGACTGATAGCTAAAACAATTACCATAGTCAAATACTAACTAGAATAGGGGGGGGAAAGCCTGACTTATTTTTAGTGGAAATGCAAGGTGGTCCAGCCACATTAGAAAGCAGTGGAAAATATGGAAGTTTATTAAAAAGTAGTATTATCATAAGATTAGCTGTTCTTTACACGGGTATTTTCCCAAATGAGCTGAATTCCTGTCTGGACAAAAGCATTTACATTGGTGCTTTTTTTGCAAAATAACTCAAGTGGTCATCCATTAAGATATGAATAAGAAAACTTGAAGTTGTAACTGCAGATGTTTAAGGAAAATATTTCATGAGTTATTATATAGAGACTTAATATATATAATTAATATATAGTAAATAATATATATTAATATATAATAATATATAATAAATAATATATAGAGAATTCTTTAAACAAATTAGAAGTGTATGCATTTGTACTTACTGGAATCACGTAGACTGTCATTATTAGAAGTGTTAGAGCAATCAGTCTTTTTAGAAACATAAAGAATGACATCTGGAAACGGGTGAAATGCTTTGCTCACAGAGAGCTAGGAAATTGTAAAGCCAGGTTTAGAAATAAGACCTCAATTCCCAGTTACATACACACACACAGACAGACTCACTCAATCACTTACACGCACTCTCTCCTCCTTCCTTCCTTCCTTCCTTCCTTCCTTCCTTCCTTCCTTCCTTCCTTTCTTCCTTTCTCTCTCTCTCTCCCTCTCTCTGAATTTATACCCACACAAAAATAAGTGAGTTGTATACTTTAATAATGGTAGCCAATAATTACAAACATAGCTGGCAGAGACTTATCCTTTGGGCTGAGATAATAATATTAATACTTTAGATATCTGGAAATATGATTGGTCCAATTACAAAAATGTAAGTGGTTAATTGATTCTCAATGCTGTTTTATTTTTTGCTTTTAACAGTGTAGCACTGTTAGGATCACTGGTGTATAAAGATCTTTTTAAGATACCACTTTCATTTTTTGGGACATATATTCAGTAATGGTCCTTTATGTAGGCAATTTTTATGAAATTAAATACATGGATGTATTATTTTAAATAAAAATTAGCATCCTGCTAGCCATGGTGATGCCCATCTTTATTTCTACCTCTCTAGAGGCAGAAGTGAGGAGATCTCTCAGTTTAATGGCAGTGTGGTCAACATAGCAAGTTCAAGACTAGCCAGGACTGCATAGTCTGAACACATATCAAAAACAGAAAAGCCACAGAAAAAATAACCCTCCCAAACCCAGAAAAAGTTAGAATCTTTTGATCTCATTGCAATATAACACATCTTAAAAGTTTTCTCTTATAAAAAAAAATTAAATTGTGGGCCTGGAGATGTAACTCAGCCTGTAGAATGTCTGCGGAGAGTGCAGAAACCCTGGATCAGTCCCCACTACTACAGAAACTGGCACGGTAGTATGGTAGTAAGAGTACCAGAAGCTCAAGGACGGCTTTATCTACTGTAAAGTAGTTCAAGGCTAGCTAGAGTGTTTAAGACCTAAGTCAAAGGAAAAAGAAGTCATGAAAGGAATTGCTTTTGTGCCCTACTTCCAACCTAATATTTCTGTTTCAATATTCAGACTCTTTTCAGTTTTGTGAACAAGATAGTGGACTAGACTAACACTAGTTAAAGTAATCATTCAAATAATTTCTGTTTAAATTGCTTCTAGATTGAGAGTGAAGAAGCTTGTTCCTATAACTGCGGACTCCCCTTCCCTGATGCTGTCATTTAGGAATCGGCATTTCAGAACAGTTGATAGTATTTTGCATGCTTTTGCCTTGTCTTGACAAACCAACACTGTACCCTCGTAGAGAGCAGCAGTCCAGCTCTTGTCATTGGTGTGGCCTTTCTGTGAGAGTCTGCAGACTGACAGAAAGTGCCGCCTGTTGTGAACTGTCAACAACTCAGCAGACACAACTAATTGGGGAGAGAAAGGGCTTTTGTGCCGTCTTCTCTTTCTTTCCTTTCATTTTGATTTTTAAGAAGACAGATACTGTTAAAGTAGCATGTTTATGCAAGTCTGTCTGCTTCTCTCTCTTCATGGCAAAGATCATTATTTAACTCCAAGTCTTGCTTGCACTGCAGGTTGTTGAGCACATCCACATGGAAGCTGGCACAGGACCAAACTCAAGACACCCAGCTTATAACAGTTGATGAAAAATTGGTAAGGATTTCCTACAACATGTTGCTTGTGAGTCTGCCACTAGGATTGTTTTGTACAATACATTTTTCAGTATAGTGGTCTGATTTCTTCTAGGAAAGTTATATATAGACCTTAAGATTTTCACAGTAAAATAAAAAGTTGAATACTATATGTAAGTACTAAGAAATTAAGGAAAGGTTTCTATTTTTGAAATGCTGATGAGCGGTAATTGGGAGCTTTATTTTGAAACATTTGTGTTGTTTTCTAAGTTACATTTCTATTTAAGTTTTATGATACTTACCAGTGCTCTCTAAATTAAATATTTTGGGTTTTTATGGAACTATGAGTTTTATGATACTTACCAGTGCTCTCTAAATTAAATATTTTGGGTTTTTATAGAACCATGCAATGTTATTATCACTGTCTTTTTGTATGTGTGCCCATAAACAGTGCATTTCTACATACTAAATTATAGATAGCAGCAAATGAATAATAGTAATGTTTTTCCATCATCAGTCAATAAAATTTTTGCAGCTATCATTCAAAAATATCCTCAATGTTTAGATGCAGTTTGATATAAAGGCTTATATTATATAACAGAACAACTTTTGTAATGTTTTCAAAACTACTAGCACAAATATATAATAGTAGAATAAGTATGTATTTTGTTTATTATGTGGTTTACAAAATAAATGGAAGTGTCTCTTCATTACCCCTCCTAGACAAACTCTACACTGAGCTCCACCCCAGCACCACCTTTCTAATGATGTGTTTTTTAATAACTCGACTTTGTATCTATTAGCATGATCCAAACATGCCATTCTGAAATTCCTGTTTATACTACTAAAGATAATAGATGGATAAATAATAGAAAAGTAGTAGATAGTTTGGAAAATTCCTCTTAGACCTCAGGCTAACTGGTTTTATTCAGATTGTCTGTTGACACTGCTATTATCTTGGTGTAGACAGTGTCGTGTGATTGGTCTCCCCATGTGTTTTCATCTCCTTCTGATTCATTTTCCCCAGCATAGTTAGAATAGATTTTTGTTTGTTTGTTTATTTTTTTGAGACAGAGTTTCTTTGTATAACAGCCCTGGCTGTCTTGGAATTCTCTTTGTAGACCAGGCTGTCCTCGAACTCTCCGAGAACTGCCTGCCTTTGCCTCCCAAATGCTGGGATTAAAGGCATGTGCTATTATGCCCAGTGATTTTTTTTTTTAACGTTGGTTTTATCACCTCGTATGTATAATTCTTTGGTGGTTTCTCTTGCCCGGAGAGTTAACTTTAGAATTCTGATGGCTTTCAAGGCCTTAAATAATTTAGTTCCTGTCTTTCTTTCTAGGTTTGTTTTGTAGCATTTGTTTATTGAGGATTCTGTAGACATGGAACTTGCTATTCTTTTTTCTTGCATTCAGAGATCTTGTTCCCTTACCCACATGCTTTGTACTAACCCCAGGTTTTTATTCAATCACCATCTATTCAGTTTTAAAACATAATCAGATACACTTGTTTAGTCAAGAATAAAAGAAACAAGGTAGTTGTGTGTATGAAGAACAGGGCTTTTCTATGTCATTTATTCTAATCTATAGTTAATGACAGCACTAGTGTTTCAATTTTCCTGGCCATTTCATTGAAACACAGAGATTACTGTATTGTTACAGTATTATTGTTTATTCAGATTTCATAGTTTATTAATAGTGTCTCTTGGTTCTTTCAAATTTAAAAAATAAATTTATATATTACTCAACCAATTTGTATATTACTCTAAGCCTGCAGTTCACAAACTGAGGGTCGCAACCCTGTGGGGGAGGTCAAATAATTCTTTTACAAGAGTCACATATTAGATACCCTGCATATCAGATATTTCCATTATGATTCATAACAGTAGCAAAACTACAGTTATGAAATAGCAATGAAACTAATTTTATGATTGGGGTCACCACAACAACATGAGGAACCGATTGTATTAAAGGACCACAGCATTAGGAAGGTTGAGAGCCATTGCTCTAAACAAACCATTGTGCTATTTAGACATTTAGCGTGATGCTTTTGAGTAACATGCCACAAAATTAGTTATGTACTGCTGATGGTTTTTGGTCTATGTACATTACCCCCAGCCTTGTTACTTTTATTGAAGTATGTCAGTCACATGCTAGTACAGTATTCTAGCAAGAATCAGCTGAGTTCCTACATATAGTCACAGTTGGAGTAATATTTAATATGGGTAATCAGCCCCTAAATTAGAGTTTTAGGTATTTATTTTTATATTCAAATTATAACAATAATCTAATTGGTAACAAAATAATGCTGGATTTTCATATCTTATTCCTACACAGCTTCTGAGAAGGACTAAATAAGTAGTATAATGAGATCATCATGGGCTCAGAAGAGCATTTACAAACAGTATTTAGAATTGATTATGTTTACATTTTGAGCAAAAAGGATGGTTATACATATATGCTATATGTATCAACATTAATGATAAAAGTATTTCAGAATGTAAAGTAAATCTCATGAATATTTTAAAGAATATGGAACTATCACTCTAATATTGCTATTATAAATAATATAAAACAATATAAAGAATACAAATAATATAAAGTAACATTAAACAATTTATTATGCCGGATGCCACCATGCCTTTAATCCCAGCACTAAGGAGGCAGAGGTAGATGGATCTCTGAATTAAAGTCAGCAAGTTTTAGGATAGTCAGGGCTACACAGAGAAACTCTGTCTTGAAAAACCAAAAAACAGCTTATTATATTGGTATACTTTTTTCTCTATTTGGTTAGTTATTAATTTTTTATTTGTGAGTGTGTACATGTATATACATGTGTGCACCATGTGTGGGAGGCCACCCATAGAGGCTAGAAGAGGGCCTCATCCCATGAAGCTAGAGTTAGAGACAGTTGTAAGCTATCCAACTTGGGGGCTAGGATCTGAACTCAAGTCCTCTGGGAAGGGCAGCAAGCACTTTTTAACTGCTGAGTCGTCTCTCCAGCCCCTTGGTATTCTTAGGGCTACATTCTTATCCCTTGTATACTGCCTTTATTAACCACCCCATGATAGGTATCATAATTATATTTGTACCTTAAATTAAACGAAAGCTAGAATCTTAATTGAAATAAACATTGTCCATTATCATGATTTTATGAATAGCCATTATAGTTTCATAGTTATTCTTATGTAATATAATTTGTAAAGTAAAGTAATACTGACCTAGAGCCCAGGGCATGAACGAACTTGATTCAGATCCATTTTACTGAACTCTTTCTAGTTTCTGAAAATGGATTCTAGAAATACAACAACAGAAGATAGCTTTAAACATCACCTACTGATTCTACAGAATATGGTTAGTTTTAGTTTAAAAAAATGTTTAACATTTTCTCCTCAGAGAAATCTTATAGGAAAATCCAATAAGTAAAATAGATAAAAGATGATCTATTAGGGGTCCAGGGTTGTAGGCCAGACAGGGAGGGCTACTGAGCCTCAGGACACAACATCTAAGGGGAATCTAATGGAAGAAACTGGAGGCATAGTCTAATCTTGTACCTCTTTTAGTGGACTTAACAATTATTTCTCTGACTTAAAAAAATTACAGTTAATTAACCCTCATTTCCTTGCTAGGCTTGTGTTCATATTATTTATGAGCCATAATTATTAGAAAGCTGTCTCTTAGGTGGGTTGGTTGTATATGCCTACGGGTTCAGCATTTAGGAGGTGGAGGCAGAAAGATTTCAAGATCATCCTTGGCTATATAGTAAAATTGAGGTCAGGCTGGGCTACATGAGACCCTGCTTCAAGAATCAAACAAAAATCCAAGCAAACCAAAAAGCGCTTTCTTAAGCCGAAAGTATAGTCTTTTCAGATGATGAGAAAATTCTGTACTTCTATGCAAAATTAAAACAAACGAAAAGTCCCCCTTCATCTGTACCTGTGCCATACCCAAATGTAACTCCAAGTTTTAGATATAAACTTGTGGTACTGAATTTCTAACTAAAATATAAAATTCCTAGAAGAAAATGAAGGAGATTTTTGTAGCTTCGGGTTAGACTAATATTTTTTAGATGTGACACTAATATAATAGTGTTGAATTTATGGTTTTTAAGAATTATAACACTGGACTGTCTCACAATTAAAAATATGCTTAAAAAAATGTAAGACAGGGACTAGCAAAATGGTTCAGTGGATAAAGATGCCTGCCACCAAGCCTGATGACCTGATCAGATTTGCAGATCCTTTATGTTGGAAGGAGAGAACCAGTACCTACAAATTGTCCTATTACCATTACCTGAGACTGTGACCCACGTGTGCACACACACATACAAACATGCAGAAACACACCCACACATTCACACCCCCCCCCCACAAAGTCAATTAAAATGTAACGAAAATAAGAGGCATGGGCCTTAAGAGGAAAAAAGAAAATGATAAGACACAGTTAAGTAAAATGTATTTGTTAAATGTATTTAATGGAAATTATATCCAGAAAGTAACTTATGTCAGCCTCAAAGGCTATATGCTATGTAATTCCATCGATGTTCTAGATATCAGAAAACTATAGTAACAAGAAATTTATTAGTGGTTAGCAGGGTTGGATGTGGGTCAGGAAGAATTAAATTGAAAAGAAATGAGGAATTTTGGAGAGTGAGGTAACTATTCTTAATTGAGATGGTGAGCCTCTTGTTTCTATTGATTTGTGAAATAAACAAAAATCCACAGAACTGTGCAATAACAGTAGCACATTTTCCTGTTTCTAAACTATCAATTTTCAAAAAGGGTATGAAGGTCATAAACTTTTTTTTTTAAATTTAACTTGTGTTAGTTGTTCTAAGGTCTTCCCAAATCATATGTAGGGCATGCCATATTTTATAGGTCAGCCGTCTGTGTACTGAATCTGCCGCCAGCTTTTGGGTCTATTAAATTGAGACCTTAAAGGATGGTTGTAGGTTTCCTTGCAAAGTGAATTATTTTCATAACCACACCATCTTTAATTGCCCTTTTCACTGTGTTAACAGTTT